GGGACTTCATCGTGCAGCGCCGATCCGAGCGCGACAGCGCCAATCGCCGACAAGCCCGACCCGCCAGCTTTCAGCACCAACGATCGCGTACTGCTCTACACGCCGCGTGTCAAGCCTGGTACGACCACGAAGCTCGCTCGTCTCTGGCGCGGCCCGTACGTCGTGACCAGGAAGCTGTCCCAGTGGAACTACGGCATCATTCCGGAAGCAGGTGGACCAGCTCAAGTCGTCCACGTCGCGAGGCTGAAGGCGTACACGGCCCAAGACGACACGACGCCGGCTGATGCTCTCGACGAGGACGTCGACGCTGATGTGTTGCTTGATTGATATGTTGCATTGTCTTGGTGGGGAGGAATGTTGTGTGGGCGATATCCGTCTTTGGCGGATAAGCCCACAGTTTGCTTTGTTAGAGGGATTTGTGTGAGTAGTTGTTAAGCCCACAGTTTGCTCTGTTAGAGGTTTTTGTGTGGTTACATTTAACCCCACAATTTGGCTTAGCAGAGGAGTTTGTGTGGTTAACTCGGTGTTGACAACGGTCACATACCTTTGAGTGTTTGCGTGCATGCCATGCCTGACATTGCCACCATGCCTTGTCGCCCGCATGCATGCTTGTTCTTTTTGCATTTCTTGCATGCCACTTCGTTGTATAAGTGGCGCAAGAGTGCTCTGTTTGTGTGGAAACACGACAGGTGTGTGTGTGTGTTTACTGTAGGCAAACGCAACAAACAAGAACACAAGGAGAATGAACAAACACAGCAAGCTGCTGCCAAATCAACTCGGGCAGCACGCTCAAACAAACACTAGACAGGTGCACACACAGTTCACAACGCTGCCAAGGCGACATGGGCAGAGTGTGCACGAACACAAACAATCTAAACAATGAACAGCATGCATACATGCGCGCAGAGCAATGCTAAGCATGGCATGAATGCTTGCAGGCAAGCATACACAACAGACAACACTTCACAACACTGCATTGCACGCGCACATGGCATCCGTCAAGCATGGCGAGCATGCACACACACACACATGGCACACAGCTCACGTGTGTAGGGGAAGGAGGAGAGGAGAGGCAGTTGGCACACATGCATGCCAGCAGAGAGGAAGGAATGTTTGCCAACGGAAAAACCACAAGGCAGGTGTTGTTGGCAAACAAGACAAAACCACATGAGAAGGCAAATTAGGAAGGACTCAACACAAAACAGAAACTCACTGACTCTCAACACTCCCCCTCAACTGCCTTCCTCTGCTCCGTCTCAGCCGCCGAGGTTCCCACCAATCGTGGCAGGTGCTGCTCCAAGGTCTGCTTGTCCAGTGCCTTGGTCAGCGCGTCGGCAACCATCCGCGTGCCGGGACAGTGCTGCAGCACA